TAATGTTTTAGGAACTTTTGGTTCATTTTTACATGCAGTTTTGTTTCATTGTTGTGGCCTGAGGTGCTTGAGCACGCATATGAGCAAATAACATTTTATTGTAATATTTGTTAAGGAAGACTTTGCAACTTTTTCATATTTTTAAATTATTTTCTTGAGCCAGTATGTGCTAAAATGACCCTTTACAGGGTTAATGAAAGACCCGTATTGCCCCCTGTGGCCAGAATATTCCACTTGCAACTTCAGAGTGCTGGTTCAATCTGTTGTACTTTGAAAAAAATTGGGCTGTTCTACCTGATTCTGCAGTCTGCTTCAGCACATTTCCTGCATGTTTAAGATCATGAACCCAGCTGATTTGTTTGATTTCGAGATGAACCACTCCTGTAGACACCAATGAAGGCTGGGGAGACGTTTCAGTCTTTAAAAAGACAAACCCACAGCAAGGAGTGTTTTGCTTTTTTGCCCCACAAACGGACACTAGGGGGTGCTAAAAGTAGTTTTTACTGTTAATCTTTGGAAAATCCATTGAAATGTTGTTGAAAATGAATAAAATGATGCTCAGTTGTTGACAAAGGGGGGTGGGATGCCATATTAGAAGCCATGTTTCCTTCTGGCCGGCTCGGGGTGCTGCGTCTGTCACCCTAGATGATTGGCTGGGCGTACGACATGCGGATGCTACTTTATCGTGTTCATGAACGTTTAGGTAGTAAGAAACACAAATTTATTAACAAAACTGCAAAACTCTTTTCAAAACATTCGAGAAAGAATAGAATCAAAAAGAAATGCTATATATAATTTGGCCGAGCGGTATTGCCATAATATGATAACTTCACTGGCAGGTGCAGGACCCTGAGCAGATCTGTAAAGTATAGCGCGAGAAAACTACAAATGAGATTGTATTCTCTTGATGGAATTAACAGAAGGACCATCAAAGTTTGAAGAGTCATGCCAAGGTTGCATGCTTTCTGCTCCACAGGTAACAACATTTACCGTAGTGCTTTTTAAACTAGCGACACTCAGGACGATATGGTGTAAAACAGTGGTGGGCAATTATTTTTTCCATGGGGCCACATGAGAAACAGAAAATATTGTGGAGGGTCAGGCCAAAAGGCTGAAGTCAATTATGCATAATATTAATGGTATTTCTTTATAAAAAGCAGTAAATACCATTGTTTTTTCAAGCTGGTAAGAGTAGACTATATGTTATAAATGAGCAAAAAGGAAAAAGTGAGGTTGGCTTACAAAAATGTGATTTATTCAAATTTCCCAAGGCAATGGTAAACAAAGTGTGCACATTTGGTTTTTGTTAAACATTTGTGACTTACATTAGTTAACAGTTTCAGTCACATTCACTCCAAAACACATTTTGAGTTTCAAATATTGTTGGAAAGAGGTTCTTAGCATTCTACAGACACACAGTATTGTCTGTAAAATAAAATCACTGAACTGTGATCTTGAGAAAGAGGTTTTAAAAAAAAGTGTCCCAGTTCACTGCTAGTTGCCTACATTTGTGGTCCAAACACCTTATTTTGTGTTTTTAAGCAATTTTTTTCTTATTCAGTGAGAGAAATCTAGTCTCTGCTGGGCTTTAACGAGTGCATCAAAGTCAGGTTGAATGTCTGAGGTGGAGATGCGAAGCACAGCTGACAAATGATCATCAGTGAGAGAGGATCTATACCTGGATTTTGTAAACTTCATCATTGAAAATGTTTGTTCACAAATGTAGGTAGAGCTGAAGAGAACCAACATCTTCTGAGCATGTCTCCTCAGGCTTGCAAAGTTCTCCTCCTTAAGAGAAGAGTAGAAATCCAGCAGAGATCCTGACTTAAAGTGCTCTGCCAGTACTGCATCAGACTGCAGGTCAATGAGTTCCAGCTGCACATCACTGGGTGCATTATCCACACTGCAGGTAAAGGGAGAGGAAATCATGTGCATTTCATCCTCGATTTTTCTTAGATCTTCAAAACGCCTTGAAAACTCACCATGTAATGCTCCTAACATGGATGAGTACCTGCTGAGGTGATCAGCTGATGGTGTGACTTCGTTGAGGGTTTGCATGTGAGTGAGTGTTGCTCTCCAGTTGACTTGAAAGAAACTGCAGCTTTCTCATGAAGGCCTTCACGAGGCTGTGCATTTCATGAACAAAAAGGCCCTTGCCTTGCAGTTTGGTGTTCAGTTCATCCATCAGTGCAGTCACATCAACAGCAAATGCAAAATCTGCCATCCAATCCTCATCTGAGAGCTCTGGAATGTCTTTGCCTTTCCTCTCGCAAAGCTCTCGAATCTCTGCTTTCAAGTCCCAAACCCTCTTCAGCACTTTCCCCAGGCTGAGCCATCTGACAGCTGTGTGGAGTCTTCCAAGAGAGCGTCAAACTGTCTGTGATTCATCGCCCGCGCCCTGATGAAGTTTATTATTTTAGTAACAACATCAGTAACATGGTTGATTTTTAGCACTGACGTGCACAACACATGTTGGTGTATAATACAAAGCAAAAACACCAATTTTTGATCTGCATCGATTTCTGTCACTTTATCTTGCATGCGTTTCAAAAGTCCGACATTTTTCCTTGTAAGATTTGGACAACCGTCTGTTGTGACACCTGACAGTCCCTCCCATTTCAATCCCAGAGTGTCCATGCACGCATTTACCTCTGTAAAAAGATCACTCCCTGTCGTTGTCCCTTTCATCGACCGCATTGCTGCCAGCTCCTCTGTGAGCTTGAAGTCCGTTATCCCCCGGACAAATACGAGCAGCTGGGCTGTGTCGCGGCTCTCGTCTAAGGCCAATGAGAAAAAGTCAAAACTTGCCACTTCACGTTGCAGCTGAAGCTCCATGTTCCCCTCGATCCTCCAGGTCACGGTTCGCCTTGACAGCGGGATTTGCTCAAATGTGCCTTTTTTTCAGGGCATATTAGTGCGGTGGAGTCCACCATGCACTCTTTGACAAACTCTCCCTCCGAAAACGGCTTGCTGTTTTTAGCTATTTTGTGGGATATCACAAAGCTGGTCCTGGTTGCTGCATCCCTGGATGTGTGAAGCTTAGTAAAACAGCCTTGCTGCTTTTGCAACTTTGCTAGCAAAGCTTCGGATGTCCCCGCCCTCTCAGCATCAGACAAGTTCTTGTATTTTTCCGAGTGTTTCTTGTCGTAATGCCGACTCAAATTGTAGTCCTTAAACACGCCAATCTCCTCCCCGCAAACCAAACACACGGCTTTACCTCCGACTTCAGTAAAAAAAAATACTTAACAGTCCAATTTTTGTTGAAAATCCTGCAGCCGGCATCTTTCTTTTTTATTTATTTTTTTTTTTGCATGAGCGGACATTTCTGGGTGCTACAATCACCATGTCAACCGCGGGCAATTGTTGCTATACGTATTGCGTCATTGTGCACGTAAAAAACAACTTCAAAATAAAAGCAATGCAGCCTTAGTCCATGCATGAGGTAAAATGAGAAAATACATTTATTTTGTAATTTCCAATTAACCTTACGCGGGCCGGTCAAAGTCAACCAAAGGGCCGTATGTGGCCCGCGGGCCGTAAAATGCCCAGGTTTGGTGTAAAACAACCCTGAAATGCATGTACTGCCCCCTAGTGCCAGAAAACTACTCACCGCCACTTTACAGAAATACTGTAATACAGTAAAACAAAAAAGACCTAAGTCTTAGGTCCATCTCATTACACTGTCCCTTAGCTTTTATTATGCGGTCATGTAATCCACACATCAGCTGTTAGCTGAGCAGTCGTGTTGGCTAGACTGACTCGTGAGTGTGTGCGTGGCAGGAACACAATGACTGAAAGAGTGTAAGGTAATTGGCCAGGGCTCCTGTCAGGGGAAAGAAAGGTCACTGTGTGAAATGTCACAATTCATCCACACTGTATCGTTTTTTCGCCCTCTTTAGGGAGCATCACAGGAACACTGCTTTCCCCCGCTGAGGTGGCCTCTTTGGCCTCATCAGAGATATCAGCTTTGTAATAAACTCAAATATTTTACCCGAATGGAAAAGCAAAGATCCCCCTGACCCGCTGATTGGTGTGAAATGAGAAATGTCGGCTTTGTCGCCGGTCTCTCCCAGGAAATGGAGATAGGTGTCTGATGATGAAGTCTCAGATAGCATGATATTGCATTTTCCCAAAAGCGCCCAGGGAACATGAAGACTAGAGAGGCTTTCACATGGACAGGCCTCATTGTCGAAGGTGCTTTTATCTGAAAATACAATCGGAAGGTTGCGGTAAAAAATGTATGGCCATTCATGCAGCAGACTCGGATCGCCACGGCGGCACACATACACTCAAACAGTCGCTGTGTTTTCTATTTATCCTTATTGGCTCTTCATACTGTATTAAATTTATAGATTTCCCATTTCTGCTCTCATTTCCTAGTTATCTCCAGGCTCTCTGCAGCAGATATCAATCTGTGTGCGGGCAGGGATTTTAAGCGGCAGGTGGACACACCTGAGTAATGGAGCAAACACAAGTGCACTTGCACACATGCTCGTGCACTTTCACACACGAATTTGCTTGGTAGGCGTGGACTGAATCCAGAGGAATCACATTATTGCTGATGTATAGTTTTTCACTCGGGGCAGTGCAGTTCTCCTTCCACGCACGAGCTTTATCAGAAAGAAAGAGAGGAACAAGGCAGGGGGAAAGGCAAAACGGAGATGGGCTTTGTCTTCATTGTTGACATTTAATCAGGCAAAATACTAAGTCTGCTGTGTGAAAGATCGCCCCTCTGCTATTGCTTGTCTTACTTATTGGCTTAAGTAAAATAGAACGGGTGAAAGATAGTGTCACATTGGCAGGTTTGTCCTGTGAAGGAGCCAAGAGGAAGTAAAACCTCCAAAATCCTTTATTTTTAATTTTCAGGCACTTGGAGCGTCGGTATCTCTGCAGACGCCAACAAGTGGTGGGACTCAAGACCGATGCAGTTCCTGCATCATTGGAAAAACGGGGACATTTGGGACTTAAGCTCTAACGGCTCCACTGTTCTGTCTCTCTAGTCCCGACCATCGAGGATGTCTTGGTCTCATCATCTGTGCCCAAATCCACCACGGTGTTCACCACAACCGTCGCGCCCACCACGAGAGGCCATGTCGAAACGACGGCAGCAGGAGCAGATCCAAGAGAGGGAAGAAATCCATTTGAGGACAATCGTGGCTCTGTGACAGCTGAGCCCACTGCCCCCGAGCTGCCTCGAACAGTCAGGCGCTTCTGTGAGGCAACGAGGAGGAGAGCCATCGACTGGCCCCAGACCCACGTCGGGATCACAGTGGACAGACCTTGCCCAAAAGGCACCAAAGGTAAAGGATTATTTCACCTTTTCCAAATAAAATGCTCACATCTGCACCATTCACATTCATAATGATGGACAATGCGAGCTACAGTAAAGCTCACAGAAAGTTCTAAAACAAATCCTCTTTTTTTTGTCTACATCAGAGGTGTCAAACTCATTTTAGCTCAGAGGCTACATTGAGGGAAATCTAGTCCCAAGTGGGCTGGACCGGTAAATAAAAAAAAAAACTTCAGATTGTTTTCTTTGTTTTAATACAATCAATATAAAACAAGGCTGGAGCCTGAGGACAGTGTAGTACAAGTACAACACCTGAAGTGTACTTGAAAATTTGAAAAAAAAAATCAACAAATAAAAAAAACATTCCTTAGTGATTCAAAGAGCTTACAGATCACATGGTAAGATCAGTTTCATGCAGCACTTAAAGTATATTTGACTCATTTTACTTTACATCTTTTAGCTTTCACCAGCACATCAATATCAGAAGTCACATCCTGAGTGGCGGCCAACTTCAGGATGTGACTCAAGTTCTTGTGTGAGCCTTGAGCGCATTTGTTTTATTTATACTCATTACAGAGAAAACTTGCTCACAATGATAAGTTTATTTTCACTCTACATTGTAAAGTATGAAAATAAAGTTTATCCGGCCCGCGGGCCGCATGTTTGACACCCCTGGTCTACATAGTTGCAGAAATTAGTGATTTTAATAAATATCAGTTTTACGGTATTACACTCCAGCTGTTGCCACAGAACACCTGGTTAATGGTAAATGGCTGTATTTGATATAGTGCCTTCTAGAGTCCTACAACCCCCCAAGGCGCTTTACAACACAATCAGTCATTCACTCCTGCACACGCACATTCACTTCCTGGTGGTGATGAGCTACAATGTAGTCACAGCTTCCCAGAGGCACACTGGCAGAGGCGAGGCTGCTGAGCACTGGTGCCACCAGTCCCTCCGAACACCAGCAGCCAAGGAGGGTTAAGAGTCTTGCCCAAGGACACAACAGCAGTATTCTCTGCCGGAATCGATCCCACAACCTTCCGATTACTGGCTCCACCCACTGCGCTACTGTTGCACCAGATACCGAGGTGTTGTTTGCTAGGCTACAAGATTGTGCATACAGTGGCATTATCTGTGCTGTCAATCGGTTCTTGCAACCTACGGTCTTGGCAGCTGATCAGCAGCGAGGGGAGCCAACCGAGGCTAGTCAGGCCTTAGCCAAAATTGCCAAATACACACAAAAATGTACATGTGACAACACTTGAGCTATGCATTATTTGCTCGTCAACAATGTGTACCGTACTTGTGATAACACATGTAATTCCACTCGTTTTTCACCAAGCTACCTTCGCTGTGTTCACTTTACTTTTCACACACGCTGTGGTGTTAGTGTGTAGCAGGGAAATTGGTCCCTGCTGAAACGCTTTCGCACTGTAAACATTCCAGATGTCGTCTAGGCTATTTATAGGCATAAAACATGAAACATTTTAATCATAAAGGAAATGAACACTGGTCTTCGGTAAAAACAGGTAAACTGCACAGGACTAACAGACAAGCGCAAATGCATTCATCCATTTTATATTTTGTAATGTATTTGTGAGGAAGTGCATTATAGCGGTTTCTGTTTGTCTCTGCTTCAACAATAAACTGTCTTCAGACAACAGACTTTAGTTTTTCTCTACAAACATTACCATGATGTTTTCTCATCTAGCAGAAGTGAAAAAGTTAGGTTTTACTTCTTTGCTCAAATCTCAAACAATTCCCTTTGAAGCCTGTTTACTACAATTCACTGTCACTGCTGTCAAATATAGATTAAAAAGCTTTGTCCCAAAGGTCCACAAGGACAATGCAAACGTTAATTCTGTACAATTAAGCTTATTTCACAATATGATGTAATCCGGTGAAACCACCGACACCAACAGCTTCAGGCTTTGAAAGTGTCATACTTTGACTCCGAATCAATATTTCTGACTGACATTTTCCAATTAACGAAAAAGAACTATATTTCAGAGCTTATTTATGTCGTATTTGTGACCCTGGTTTGTTCCTAACAACAACAGTCGTGTTTTCAGCATAAAAATAATCATAAACCAAGATCCAAAGTGTGTTAAAATGATTCTGATTTGTGCTCATAATAGCGTTGCTTTCATCCTTATTTACACGCACTGAGCTGATAGCATTATTTCTCTGCAGCTTTTCAGTTTGGATGCCATGGAAATGCATGATTAGAGCCATTTGCTACCTCCATCAGACATAATAAAACAAATAAAACGCACTGCTGGTGTTTTGGAATCTGTTACTCTTTGAGATGAAAGTACACAATTAACAAAGGAAACAAACACTGTCACCTGTGTGCATTCTGCACACAGCACAACAGATAGATAGATAGATAGATGGATGGATGGATAGATAGATAGATAGATAGATGATAGATGATAGATAGATAGATAGATAGATAGATAGATAGATAGATAGATAGATAGATAGATAGATAGATAGATAGATAGATAGATAGATAGATAGATAGATAGATAGATAGATAGATAGATAGATAGATAGATAGAAACTCAGCCGTTAGGAAAACAATTTCATGAAGCTGCTACGGCAATCTCGCAGAAATTACCTTCACAGCTCATCACAGAATGTGACAGAACTGTCAAAATGGAAAGCAGGGCCGTTGTGGAATAAAAAGCAAAAAGAGAGAGATAATGTAGAAAAAGAAAGGGTCTATAATTTGTCCCGTTGTCACCGAAGCAGGTGATATTCTAATGGAATCATGCTTTGAATGGACTAAGGATGTATATCAGAAAGTTGATAAATGTGTCAATTTTCACACTTTCTCAAAAATCCAGATAGCTATCTTGCAGATCATTTAAATACAAAACCTTGAAATGTAATAAACTTCACTGCATTAGTGAGTGATCAGCAGGAGATGCTGTATCTGAGCATGGATCTGGCCGCCCTCCCACTGTTGTGTTTTTCTGTAATCCTGCAGGCATTGCCACTTTTCTCTGCGCCGTGTCTGGGACGTGGTGCTCCAAAGGGCCAGATCTCAGCAACTGCACCTCCCACTGGGTGACTCAGGTGGCACAAAAGGTAAAAAAAAAAAAAAAGAGAGTTTGCCCATCACAAAACCTAGCAGCAATCAAGCATGTAGCGTGGCTAAAGTCAAACATCTACTCCGTGTGCAATAGATGACCCTTTTGCTTGCTTGGTTTACTTTCTGAACAGGTCAAGTGTACTCATAATGAAACCGCTTTTTTCCAAGGGGAGCATGTGTCAGCCAGCAGAAATTCTCTTATCTAAAAAGTGTGCAGTGTGCTACTGAGAATCAAAGATGCGGGGTCTCTCTTCGTCAGTGCGTTGGTGCTTTGATGTTGTGCAGGTAGACATGTAGATGCACAGATAGCCTGAGCGCACAGTAATGCACCAGAAACACAATGCACCACATTCTGAGGGAGAGATTATTGTTTCCCTCGGCTAGAAAAACACATCTACAGGATACAGCAGCTTCTGGCAGGGTTCCTGGGGAAATGCAGAAGTTTTAAACTTAAGAACTGTGTCCTGATTTGAAGCAGATGTTCTGGTATAAACAACTAAATGTGGTATAGTTTTAAAAAGTGATGCACTGCACATCTATTCAAATACTGTTTGCCTTGTGTTTGCACTTATTCTGCTCTGCCTACTCCCTGAAGGAAAAGGGTGGCCAAAATGAATAAATAAATGAACAACTAAACACTTTTTTGTTGGCTAGATAAGGAGCATCAATGCAAAATTGCTAGAATAGAAGAAGAGGGGGAAGTAAACAATTTAGGAGGCATTACTTATCTTATTGTTAAAGCCTTTGCCCATTTGAGATGCCATCTATTTTCATTTTTATTCTTATTTGCTTATTTAAAACTTATTTTGAATTAAGTGCAAACATCGAGCCGATTGATCTAACGGTGTCTGTGTCTCCTGATATGTCTGCAGCTGTTATAATTACATCAGATTGTATAGTCCAGCTTCATTACACTTTTATATACTTCTAAATCAGATCGTCGAAGCTGAAGGATTAAATTACTTTAAATTTTCCCTTATTTGTGCATTGCTTCCTTTATATTAAAATATCCCTGCAAAATAATCATGCGGCTAACTGGCACATGCATTTTAAATATAGTACGAAGCATGATTGGAAGTTGGTGTTTAGAATAAGCTGGTTATAATAACAGCTCTGATTACAGCGTATAAATGTTGCAAGTGTTTTTCTTTTCCTTTACTTCCCTGAAGCCCACACGTTAACAAAACCCTTTTTCTTTCTCAACAAGCCGAGTTGCATTGGATTATGTCTCTGAGATGTATGTGGAATAAATTATTTAGGCAGGCGTTATATAACCATCATCTCAGGCCTGCATACCCCTCATTTCCCTGACACCCCCCTTGTTTTATATTTATGTATTTTCCCCTTGTTGCTGTTTTTAGATCCGAAGTGGCGAGAATGCAGCAAACCTAGCCAACGAGCTGGCGCGGCACACCCAGGGCCCGGTGTTCGCCGGAGACATCAGCTCCTCCGTGCGGCTGATGGAGCAGCTGGTGGACATCCTGGACGCTCAGCTGCAAGAGCTCAGGCCCAACGAGAAGGACTCAGCTGGACGCAGCTTCAACAAGGTGCCGGGAGGGGGGGGGGGGGGGGGGGGGGATCTTGTCTGACTTGTTGTAACCTCTCATTAAACTTTGTACATCTTCTGCCCCCGACTCGCAAGTCAGCATTACTCAAGCGCCTTCATTAGCAGGATACTTGCAGATAACACACAGCCATGCCTGTGCACTCCCACACATGCACACCGATCACACACAGACCCAGGTGAGGGGGCTAAGGGGGCAGGTCTAGCCCTGAGGGGGACCTCATTCCTTTACAGCTCCTGGGTAATTACTAGCTTTTGGAAAAGCAAGCTCACCTGGCAGTTCCACCTTATCTGCGTTAATGGCCACGAGCCCCCCCGACAACACAGAGAATAACTCTTCGCTGCTGACAAGTGCGGAACTGCTGTCCCCTGGAGCCTTGGCAGGCACCTATTGAGAGAAGAGTGGGCCCACAACAGAGCTGCTTCTCTCAGCTGCTGGCAGCCCCATAGAGAGAAGAGTGACAGGTTGAAAAATTGCATTTTTATTCAGACTTTGGAGACAAGTAAACAAGGTGATTTTCACCACAGTGACACTTGCAGTTTGTCTCCATATGTTCAGGTGGCTACGCAACTATTACTGTAGATTAGAGCAAGTTTAGTTCTGATGAAGCAAGAATTTTTGTGGAGTTTTCTCTGCAGCGCTAGAGTGAAACCTCAAAAAAATGACACACTTCAACTCCAGACCTGCTGAATTTCAGTGGTTTAACCTCCGAGTGTTGATGTAAAAAGTGACATCGCAGTTTGTTCTTTTGCCAGCTGCTGCCGTACACTCCAGGCTAAAACACAGAGAGTTTTGTGCTCGCTTCCTGATATCCAGTTACTCTTAAAGCAGGCCACTCTGACTTCAAATTGAATTTTTCAATTATCCCCCCATTCGGCATGTCACACCTCTGTTACATTAGCACTCTGTGTACACGGGCATTGATAAAACCATAGCCAGGAGGCCTTTTGAGGAAATCAAGAAACCGTTGTCTATCGTAGAGGCACTAAACTACAAAGAATATATTTTAAAAATAATGCATTTCTTTATACAATAATAATGTTCAAATCTAGGAATCACAGACCCTAAATGTATAAAAAGACAGACATTTTAAAGTTAAGTTATTAATCATCATCACTGGTGGATCTTTATTAATTGAGAATTACCGATCTAGTTTGGGATGTAGTTACATTTAAAATCCTGCATTTTATTAGCCTGACAAACCATCCTATATATGTAAATATGTAGTCTGGTCACGAGCCATTGAAACAACCCATTCTAGGGGCGGAATCTACGGTTGTCTTTCAAACCATCTCCTCACTCAATTGGACAACGCCCAGACCAAACGGAACATAGAACAATGGAAAACAGTCAACAGGGCAGCCCGCCCTACACCGTTGAAGAAGAGGAAGCAAAATCATCCTTTTTTAAATAAATTACTTAAAGTGTCAGTGTGTAGTTTTCTGGAGCTAGGGGAAATACACACATTTCAGGGTAGTTTTACACCATATCGTCCAGACTGTCGCTAGTTTAAAAAACATTACGGTAAATGTGGAGCAGAAAGCATGCAACCTCAACGTGACTCCTCAGACTTTGATGGTCCTTCAGGTAGTTCCATCTAGAGAATGCCATGCTGATTGTAGTTTTCTCGCACTGTAGTTTTTAGATCTGCTCGGGGTCCTCCTGCGCCTGCTGATGACATCATCATACGACCGCAATACCATTCTTTTCTTTCACATGTGCTTTGGAAAGAGTTTTGAAGTTTTGTTAATAAATTCGTGTTTCTTGTACATCTAAATGTTTTTGAACGTGGTAACGTTCCTGCCATTCATCTAGTGTGATGTCATCGACAGGCGCAGGACCCCGAGCCGCCCAGAAGGAAACATGGCGTCCAATATGGCGTCCCCCTAAGAGGCTAGACCCTATGTACTTTAGAGCTGATTTTTAAGGTTATATGGTAGAAAGCTGCCAATACTTTTCAATAACTGGAGATCATTTTATTCATTTCCAACAACATTTTGATGGATATTTTCAGAGATTAATGGTAAAAACTACACATTGTCTCTTTAAAGTCTTTGGTGAGACCTGACCAGGATTTGAACCCCAGTCTCCCAGTCCTAGGGTGGACACTCATACCACTAGGCCACTGGGAAAGTATTACACTGCAAGTTTTCTGCTGGCGAAGGGCTTTCTGATGCAATTTCTTGAAATTTTTGGAGCTTTGTTTGTAAATTCTCATTAAATTATTCATGGTTTGCACTTTATCAAATGTCTAATCCCCCACCCTGGACACAGCATTTCATTTAGGAAATTGGATTCCTGCAGGAAAACAGCCTGCGAATTTAAATGTACGCAAACACAATCACAACTTAAGGCAAGGCAAACACGTTTCCAGCCTTAACGTAAATAGAAAGAGACCAAAGGAAAAGAGTGTACATCTGAACAAGTACATGCACAGATCTGGAAGTGTTTATGGGTAAACAGCGAGGCAGATTCAATCGGTTTTGGTGTTCCTCTGCAGCCCGAGCTCCACAAATCAACCAGCGTCCATAATCTCAATCTGTGCAATGTTGAAGGAATAGTGTATTTCCTAAAATTTTCTGTACAAAACACTCTGTTGTCTCTGTTGTTTGCCAAATCTGCGTTGCAGCTGCAGCATGTGATTTTCTGTGCTGTGACTCAGTTGGGAGGAGATGGCGACTTAATGCCTACAGATTAACAAAGGTGTATAAAAAGAACGAGCACTTCATTATTTCCTCCATCACACGAAATACACGGAGCCTCATCACAGATTGTTTATGCTCTCGGTGTATTTTAAAGTGTCACTAATGGGGGGAACATCAGAATCTAGTCTCAGCACTTTTCCCTCCCCGCTGTCTGTGCATTTCTTATCTCTTCCTCTCACTAGTATGTAATCCATATTCATAGTTAGGATTCAAACACCGCTAACTTCCCCTGGGAAGCTTTTAGATCTGTCTCATTATTTCAAGGTTAGAGTTCGCAGACCTGCGCCTTTCCTTCTTTTCATTATTTCTGTAATTGATAGTAAGTTGCATGATTTAACGCTTCCTTTTCTCTCACCGTTTCTCTTTACACTCTGTCTCTTATGCCTGATCCTCTTGTTGCGTGGAAAAAGCTTCAAAAAAGAGAGAAGACATGCCGAGCGTACATGAAGGTATAACTGCCAGGCTTTTCACATTGCGTGTTTTTTATTTCTTTTCTCTCCTACCCCAATCCCCAACGTCTGACTCACTGCATGCAGCATTGTCTGTCTCTTGTGTCTCTGCTTGCCTGTGTGCCAGGTGACCCGCTTGTAGAAAATACAGCAGCTCTGTCATCCGTCTCCGCTGTCTGCTCTCCTGTCACTTTCTACATTTGAGGATGTCAATATCAGTCCAATTTGTTCCATTTTACCCCCCCTCAATGTCCAATCACTTGTACATTTTTCTTTTTCTTTCTTCCATGTCCTCTCCTCCCTCTTCCCTCCCCCACTTTCACTCTCCCCATCACTCTTATTGGCTCTTTACACATTCTGTGAATAATTACCTTCCCACGGTCGTAATTGCATCTCCCTGTCAGCCAGAACTGTGATCAAAGTGGCAGTGTGCTCAGTTGTCACTTGCATAAATGCTAAAATCTCCAGTGTCCCTTGTCCCTGTGGCAAAAAATCTCTCCTGTTGCTGTTGTGTTTTTATTTTTTCGCAGGGATTAATTTCTGTGCCTATTAATTTGTTTGTATTTCAGTCTGGTTTTTAAAACTTCTTTACCTCGGCTGCTACAGAGCTTTATTTTCTCAGGTAGCCTCTGCTGAACGATAAGAGTGTGGTATAAACACAGGAGAGACGACGCCGTGCACAGAATAAAACAAATGATTATGTTTTGTGCTTCTCAGAAAGCCGGGCTGTGTTTGCTTGATGTCTCATTTTACAGAAAGAAAAAGGCAGCGCTCTTCCCCTCGGCTCATTCCGAACTGTTGTTTTAGCCGCACTAGCAGCTCCGGGGAGAGGGTGGCAGGGCTTCGTTAGTCCGCTGATTGTTCGGTCCTTCTGCTCAACATCTGCTGGATGAATTGACACAAAATGTGGTGCAGAAATTCATGGCACCCGAAGGCTGCGTCGGAATTACTTTAACATGATGTTTCCTGAGTTGTTCCTAGTCGAACTTACCAGGGCTCTAAGTTGCCAGGTGATCACGGTAAGATCACAGGAAGGAGAAAATCCATCTTTCAGGCTTCAAATTATGCTTTGGCTGCCGGGGCACAGAGGTTCAGTCAGACGGTGCCCCGCACTGGCAGCGAGGAGTGAGAATTAGGAACGACAGCTAGAAACACGAGATCCTGAAGATGTTAGCTAAGAAGCTTATAGCAGAAGTTTTATGAGAGTAAGGGTAACAGCAGGAGCAGGCTTCTCTTCTCTTGTTGGACACATGTATTTCCTCTCGTCCCAATTGGACACGCCAACTGTTCTGCCAGGAGTAGTCTGCTGATCTGATTAGTGCAAGTTAGTCACAATCAATAGATGCTGCATCCAATAACCTGCAGTCTACTCGAAAGTGTCCAGACCGTTTTCAAGTAGCTTCCTGTAACAGCCTCAGGTGGATCGATGTGACAGATCGTATGTAAATCTAAACTAAACCACTGCGTCTCCTGCATATGTCCACATGCCTGCTTTTGTTAATAAAACGGCAAATCTTCACACGGCACTTAGCTTTCACCCAGCACATCCGTTTTCTGTTATTCCTGAGTGGGAGTCTAGCTGCAGAGCTAATGGTGAGTCACGACATATGTACAAATACATCCCATCTATAAATTAGAAATGTAATTAGACTAGAGTTGCGTCTATTAGAGGCCAGGGTTGCAGAGCACATCATTTTCCTCCTGTTTGTCACAGCTGCAGTGCAAACTACCGGTGGTGTTAGTCAGCGGGATCGTCATCTTCTGCCGCTCCCGTTGTCAGAGCAGCTTGAGTGTTGACCGTGCTGTTCAGTGAGCTCTCACCATATGTTTCCCAACCACAACCCCCCTCTGCCTGGTTGAACCCCTGTGATTTGTAAACTGACCGCCACCCGGGCGGGACTTAAAGAGGATTCAGTTGGAAGACAGCTCCTTTCCTCACAAGACAAATTAAAGACAGACATTCCTTTTCTGTTCTGCTTTTGGATTTTATGGATTTCTTTTTGTGGACGGCTTACCTGTAGGTGGGGGGAAGGCCATTTAGTGTCTGTCTGATTGTAATGACGCCTACCCTGTAATTCCCTCTGCTTGTCTCTATGGCTTTTTCTCTTACATACACAGAAGGCACTCTGGTCACAGTCACAGCACGCTCGCTTCAAGCTGCCTGCAAGGTCGGAGCTGTAGAGATTGATTTTTGGGCTGGAAACCAAAATATAAAGACACGCCGAGAGCCCTGCGTCTGGATACAGTCATTATTGCTGTGGTTACCATGCGCTCTGTGGCTAGATTTTGTGGTTAATCTTCCCACCGATGCAGACTTTGGTCCATTTGTGTTTATAGTCCAAACATACGCATAATGTTGTCACTGGTCAATTAGTGTTTTGGATAAAGGCTGCTGTGACTAATTAGTGCAGCAAATGGGGGCTCGTTGTGGTTAATTATCAGTATTGTGGTGGGTCTCGCTGTGGCTAATGGCACCTATGGCTAAATTGTCACTCTGAGTTACCCCACACAAACCTGCTCTAGATCTTGGAGTTGTCGAGGGATTTAGGCGAGGTTACTGGTGTTGTTTCCTAATTTTGCCGGCCTGAGGTCATGAACTCATCCATCCAAGGGTCAGAGGAAACTCCTGTTTTATCAGCATATGATACTTGTGTGGGTTTGCTGGAATGTTGTGCTTATACTTAGAGCTTATCAGAAAGCAGGAAATTAAAGGATTGCTATTGAAAACAAGCATACCCCCTTCTCTTATTTGGACTTAGACCACTACTTTGGACACAGATTTCATAATAATCCCCCTTTTCCTCCAGGACAGTAGTGTCAGAGGACCATGTTGTGGAAGCTTGAGTGGGTTTTCTGGGGGAAAACGGTTGCTTAAATATAAGAATTCAATGGGCAGATTTGCTCGGTGAAACTTATTGTGCATATTTCTTAAAGAGGTTCTTCACTCAGAAAACATTTTTATTATATTTATTACTCATTATTATATTTGAAAATGATCAGTCACTCAGAGTTTAACAAGGAAATAGTCTCCTACACCTCCTAGATGGTGAAACTTTAGGATTTGAAAACCCTGAAAGATCTACATCACACTGTCACTTAACATTCATGAACTCACCCATCTTGGCTCACGACGGGGAAGTCTGTTGTTGGTTTAGGGTCCAGGAATGTCTCGGCTAGTAGAAGCTAACCATTAGCGACTCCACCATGCAGCAGAACTCCTCCAGCCTTGTGTTATTTGTGGAGATAAAACATCAGTGTTGCAGAGCGAACAGTGAGTGGTAGAGTTGCATTGCTGTTAGCCAATCAGAAGCAAGATGTCCAAAAATCAGGAAATAAGACTCTAAATCCTGTCGTCTGAAGCTACTTTGCCCTCCAACTGAATCTTCTACGCTGAAACAGGTGCTTCTGAGCTTTTTTCCCCAGAGTACGACTTGCAGCTTTCATTCCCACTATAGGCCGCTGCAAATGTGTTAAAAATATTTATTTATTTTATTTATTTATTTATTTATTTATTTAGGAAGTGGGTCAATACATATTAATGAACATTTCAATAAATGTAAATATGCCAGATTATAGCCTTGGGCTAATTTCCATCTGCAGACCCTCCGGCAGGTTGATGTTAAACACAAAGTAGTGTAAACATACAGAGATAGTATTTACAAGTCATGTGACAGAGACAAAAACTGTCATCCCATTATACAAACACAAACAAATGTCAAGGAAAGTGGACACAGAGAACAACATAGACAGCAATAACGGAAACACATCAATTGTATTGCACAAACCCCGATACTGCATATGCCCTGACTGTCGTGAGATTACATTCACCCATTAAACTAGCAGTTGTTTCCCTTTTAATACTGTACCAACTCTTTTCCCGGACAAATATGAAATATAAATATTAGACATGATCACATGTTTGTGTGTCCCTCAGCCGCTGTTTTAAGCGACTCTTAAAGATGTTTAGACTGGTACTTTCCCTTACAGATAGTGGAAGACTATTCCAGAATGTCACTCCCTGGTATGACAGAGCAGTCTGTGAAAAGGTAGTCCGCTTGAATGTCAGTTCACAGTCACCTCTAGCAGTGGCTCGAGTCAGTCGAGACCCGACAACACTGCTAGACTTTTGTTTAATAAAATCACTCATTGGTGGTGGCGCCAGACCATGTATAACTTTATATATTAAACAGGCCGATTTAAATAATTTAAAATTAGTAAAATTTAAAAACTTGTATTTATCTAAAATTTGACAGTGGTGATATGAGAGAGGTTTTTTATCTAATATTTTCAATGCTCTTTTGTAGCATACTTCAATTGGCCCAATAGCAGCCGAGCTCGTATAGGACCAACTGGTAATACAATATTCAATATGAGCCAGTATCATAGAATGCAGGAATGTAATCGCTGCTGTGTCTGTTAATGACGTACGGATATATCTAAAGTTCCGTATATTAACATTAACAGTTTTCACTACTTTACTAATATGTTTTTTAAAAGTTAATTTAGAGTCTAATCGCACTCCCAAATACTTAAACTCCTCAACATTAATTAATTCATGTGCACCCAAGCAAACTTTTCCTGCAGCTACGGTTGTCTTAGGTTTACTGAAAAACATTGATACGGTCTTGTTAAAATTAAGGCACAGGCATGAGTCATTCAGCCATTTTTGTAAATCACGTAATGCCAGTGAAAGCTGATGGGCTGCATCATCCGGAGTTTCGGCTTGCGTAAAAATTACTGTATCATCAGCATACATAATTGTGTCCACATTTGTACATACATTAGGCAAGTCATTTACATAAAGTGAAAATAACAGGGGACCCAAAATTGAACCCTGGGGAACACCTTGCATGCAGTTAAGATAGGGTGACTTGCTATTCTTTATTTGCACACATTGTTTTCTATCTGATAAATAAGACTGTATCCATTTAACAGTATGATTACTAAAGTTAAATGTCGACAGTCTAGACCAGAGTGTATGATGATTGACAGTGTCAAATGCACGTTTGAAATCGAGAAAAACTGCCGCAACACAACGACTCTTGTCTAAATAAGATTTCACTCTCTCAACAAAAACACAGACAGCCGTTTCAGTTGAATGAAGAGTGCGAAATCCAAATTGCATAGGATGCAAACCCGGATCGGAATCATTAAGATGTTCAATGATAGATTTAGCAACCCACTTTTCTGCTACCTTTGAAAAGATGGGCAGTATACTAATAGGTCGATAATTAATAGGGTCTATTTTATCACCCGATTTATAAATTGGTGTTACTTTCGCCACCTTCCAACTCAAAGGAACGACTGCCTGCGAGATTGATAAATTAATAAGATGGGTCACAGGCACCAAAAGACTAGATTTATAATGCTTTAAGAAATTTGTGTCAAATCCAAAGTCATCCTTTGCTTTAGAACTTCTTAATTTAGATATTATATTTTCTGCTTCACTTTCCGTAATTTTCTGAATATTGAACTTTGAGTCTGGTAAAGAATCTTCCTCTTCGGTGCCGATATTCCCAGTATTTTGTCGATGGTCATCAGAATTAGAAAACAACTGTGCAATTTCATTAATGGTACTTTGGAAGAAATCATTTAATTTAGTAGCTAGGCTAAGTGGTTCTGACACTAGTTCACTGGCAAATTTAAGTTCAAGGTCCTTCTCTGCATTATGCTTACTGTTACCAAGAAGTTTGTTAATATTTTCCCAGATTAGCTTACAGTTTCCTTTGGCATTATTAATTACAGTCATGAAAAAATTTGCTTTTGCCATTCTCAAGGTTTGTGTGACTTTATTCCTTGCAGATATAAAATGTAATCGATCAGTATGTAATCCAGATTGTAACGATTTTTTGAGTAACCGATCTCTAAGTCTCATAAGCTGTTTACACTCAGTATTAATCCAAGGCAATGAATAAACTCGTTTCTTTAAAAGGCACTCTTTCTGAAACTGTGACAAGACCCCTTTAATAGCAGAGTATACTAGATCACAACATTTATTAGTGTCATCATATGTTAGTATGCTATTCCAGTCCAAATTATTTAGAGCAGCTGTTAAATGTGGCTCTTGATTTTTGGGAATGAATGCTTGTTTTATATTCGTCCTTTTACTGAAACATCTCAGTCGTTTTTTAGTTAGCTTTCTAGAGAAGAATATGGCATTGTGGTCCGACAAGCCAGTCAAAAAGTTATATGTTTTTATCATTCTATCCGGTTTATTAGAGAACACCAGGTCTATTAGAGTTCTAGAGCGATTTGTTATTCTAGTGGAATCATTGATCATTTGTTGTAAACCAAAATATGAGTGGAGGACCTCTTTAAAATCTCTTAGCATCTGAGAAGCTCGTTTATTATAGAATTATTCAGAAAGAGCGAATTCCTTCATGATTATTTTACTTATCCTCAATAAACCCTTGTGATTTCCGTCAGAGTCATCTTGATATTTCAGTTTCAGTGTTTGTCACTGTCACTGTTGGCCATCCATGTTCTCTCCCAACATTTGTTTCCCACTTCCATGTACTCTGCTGTTATACTCAAGTTGTGATGGGAGGCAACAGCAAGCTGACATTCCCCTTGTCTCCATGGATACAGGCAATTGTGGACACTGTTGACAACCTCTTGAGGTCAGAAGCGCTAAAGTCCTGGAAGGACATGAATGCCACAGAACAAACGCACGCCGCCACGATGCTGCTGGACACGCTGGAGGAAGGGGCGTTCGTCCTCGCAGAAAACCTCATCGAGCCTGCCATCGTGAAAGTGCCCGCGGAGAATATCAGTAAGTCCACGCAGAGCAGAAAGGTTTTTATTTCACCGCTTATGATAGCTTCTTTGTTCCAATTAGCCAGCCTCTCTTATTAGGAAAAATATTTTTAAATGGTCACATCTAATCTCGTCAAAGTCTCAATGAAAGACCTGACGTTATACACACACACACACACACACAGAGAGAGAGAGAGAAAGGCAGTTTATTAGTGAAGCGGTTTTATTCATTGCATTCAGCTTTGTGGTGTGAACTATCATGTTTCTGCTCGGAGCTCTTTGTTGCTATGGTTATGGTTCCTCACTCACCCTTTTTTGTCTTACGTCTCATTGATTTTTAATCTTTCATTGTAACGTCAGCTCATTTGAACATGTGCTGTGAGATGAACTGTCCAGACCTCCGGGGGAAAACAAAGACACCAGTTGAATGGCGCTGTTCCATTCAGACGGCTCTCTGTCGACTTTTTCTCCGAGCTTTTCCTATTAAGCAGCAGTTAGCTATGCTGATAACGGCTACTTCTCTCTTTACAAAAAGGCACAGATTAATACATTTGTGCAATGTGCTGTGTGCTGACTTTAAACGCTGGATTCAGGCAGTGCTCATGAGCTTGTGGAGCTCTCGTTTATCTGTAGGGAAGGTAATTTTTGGGTGAGGGAGTAACAATACACCCACATGAGAAAAAGTGCTATCTTAGAGAAAGCGCACCTGACCTTTCTCGCAGTTACAGAAAACGAAAATGATTGTTTTCTCTAGTTAGCAGGTTTTTCCTAACATAAATTTTTTCTGCGGGTAAGAATCAAGGACAAGATGAAAAGAGAGAAGGGGAAAAGCGAGAATGCTGGAGCTGAAAGGTAGATGGAAAGAGAAGAGCAACCGGAGAACAATTCCTCATCTATGTCTGTCAGAAGGCATCTATCTGCAGAAGTGAGGCCGTTTCTGATGGGAAGGAGTGTGCTGAAACCTACGTCCTCCTGACCCTTTAGTAATTTCACACATCAAAGGGAGCACCACCCGGCAGCTGGCGTGCAAGAGAGAGAGAGAGGGGCTGCAGGAATTTGGAGGATTTTCAGAGATTTGCTCATCCAGCCTGGAGTTATCTGAACCCACGGGGAAAAAGTTAAAGTAAAAGCTCAATGATATGTTTGATCCTATGAATATTTGACATTCATGCTGCAGTCGGCTGTGTGCTCGCGTTTACTCATCCTCCAGCGCAGCCCTTGTCGTTATTTTTCCTTTGCTCTTGCCTTCGAGGCTTTCACAATGCCAGAAAACAGCTTAGTGACATGGTTTTTTAGAGTAAATGACACCCTGCGGGATTTTGCCTATAAGGCTCGAATCTGTTACTGTTACAGTGAACGTCGAGCCTTTACAGGCACACCACTGGGCCTCAACGGTGGAACTCTATTGAATAAAGGAAAAAGCTTTTAAAATGATGCCCGTGAGTCATACTTTTCTGTTTGTTATCCCTTTGCTTACATCCTGTTGTCCCTCAGTGCTGGACGTTTATGTGATAAGCACGGACGGTCAGGTGCAGGACTTCAGGTTTCCACAGACGAGCAAGGGGGGAGCCAGTCTTCAGCTTTCCTCCAACACAGTGAAAGTCAACAGCAAAAACGGTGAGAAAACAGCACATTTACAAGTGTATACCTTCTGGGGATGTGTCACAAGATGGTGCAGAATACTGGTTTTAATTTGATTAGATATTGTTTAGGGAAATGTAGAGAAATTTCAAATTAAAGCTGATCTCCGCAAGGTTGTTTTCCATTTCCTTACTGGCAAATTAACACTATTTGATCTTTTTCAAGCTGTGAATCTATGGGAGTATAATTTAATAAGCAAGTTTCAAAAATAAGTCTTAAATATTCACTGAGTGTGTAACAGCTGTGTGTAAATAATTCCAAGTAACAAATTAGTCCCCAAGAAAAAGATTAAAACAATTATCACTTCAAATTTTTCTGTTTGATTTTAAGATTATTTGTGACTGAGGACAAAAATCCTGAGGATTTACTCTTTACTAAATCCAGTAATAAATGATCTGAAGGTGTGGTTCACTGAAAACCCATTAATTAATTATTATTATTTCTGATAATAATCGGCCACTCTGAGATTTTCATGCAGGTTGAACATGAAAATAGTCTCTACAGCTGTCTCCTGCATTAGCTTCTGATAGAAAATAGACGGTGAAACGCTAGGATTTGAAAAGCCTGACAGTGTGACATCACACAGGGAAGGCTGTTGTTGGTTTAGTGTCCAGGAAACAACAGAGAATGTCTAGGCTAGGAGAAGCTAACTGTTAGCGTTAGCAACTCCACCACATGGCAAAACTCCTCCAGGCTTGTGTTACCTGTGTAGATAAAATATCAGTGTTACAAAGTAAATGGAGTCAGCGGTAGGGTTGCATTGCTGTTAACCAATCAGATGTGAGAGGTCCAAATATCAGGAAGTAAGACCGTCTGAAGCTCAGCTCTGATTTGGCAATGCAGGTTCTGGAACAGGCACACCAGGGGGCTCATTTATCAAGCTTGCTTACGCACAAAACGTGGTCGGAAAACTGAGTAAGCAAGTTTCCACACAAACTTTGGGATTTATGAAAGAAAACTTAGCGGGAAAATGTGCGCAACTTTAATTTGACTAAGGACCTTGCTTACACACATTTTGGACATGGAGAGCATCTGCAGTGCTGCTGCTGAGAAGGATAAAATTATGAAATCCTGCAGCATTATCACTTGTACTGCTTCGTTTTCACACGGAACAAGACCCCCCACACGCACACACACACATGCGCGCGCGCACACACACACACACAGCCTGAAGCACAGAATACGGAATGCAGAATATCAGCAGGGGGACAGATTGAGGCAGAATGTCATGCATCTGTGACAGTGTGTGTGCCCTGTCACTGTGACCCAATTGATCATGCACCCTGGCTAGTTGAACAGGGGAGATCTCCGTTTGGCTGACTGGTTAGCGCGCGTGACTTTCACCTGGTAGTCTGGAGATTGATTCCCGATTGGACCATTTTTTTAATATCCGCCACAGATCTCTCTGAAGAACTCAGCATTGACGGCTTCAGCAATGCTGTGCCACTCCGTGGATTTTCTCTTATTTGTTTTGCAAAAGCACTTCCTTTCATTTCTCCACCTCACGCACAGGTACCTCAATTTCTGCTTCTGTGAAATTGCGCTTCCTTGATCTGCCTTGATCTACGGTCACCATGTCATTGGCGGAGCACTGCAACAGTCGGCTTATGTATATGCATGAGATCCTCAACGAACTTTGCATTGACTATTTATGGGAGTAAGTAGGTGTGGTGAGGGCGGGATATGACTAAAAAGCAGCTGAGAAACATTCTAGAAAGTTTCTGATTTATGAAGCAGAGATTGCGTGCAGCTGTGTGTACTCCATGTTTGATAGATCACAAACCTACTCGGCGTAAGTACTTTTTCTTTTGCTGAGCTTCAGTACGGTTTTAGTAAGAATTCTGTGCAATGTTTGATAAATGAGACCCCAGGGCTTTTTTTTACCTAGAGTACAACTTACAAGGTAATCATTCCTACTAGAGAACACAGCAAATGCATTGATTAAATGAGTGCACCACACCTTTAAATAGGCAAGTATATAATGCACGTCATGTGAGTTGAACTGTGCAAAGTGAAGCAATGTGTTTACTTTAACCCAAAAAAAAATTTCTAAATGCAATTATTTACTGAAAGGGAATTGAGCTTATAGTGCTGAACAACAAAGCTCAGCTTCTCATCCGTCTCTGTGCTTTGAATGAGTAAAACATCAACACTTCAGCGCTTTGTGCTATGTCAAAGAGAAGCAATGAGCTGATTAATGTTTAGGATATACATAATTGAATAAATGCTGGGGATTTTTTTCAGTTTGAACTTTTAACTCTATAAGTGTGAATTTACTTTCTGCCGTGTTTTGATTTCATTATTTTGAGTTGCAGGTGTGGCCAAGCTGGTGTTTGTGCTCTACAAACACTTGGGTCAGTTCCTCAGCACAGAAAACGCCACACTGAGAGGAATGGGAGATCTCACCAAACACAATCTCTCCCTCACTGTCAACTCCCACATCCTGTCAGCCTCCATCACAAAGGAGTCCAGCCGTGTTTTTGTCGCTGACCCGGTGATCTTCACTCTGGAGCACCTGGATGTAAGCCTCCTCCTGCGGTTTGACTGCTACAGAGCTAAACTGTGAAAAATATCCTCGTGGTGTCACTGCCTTTCAATTTAAAGCCCGGTTCACACAGCAGGATTTTTTAATTGTCAGTCGATCTTAAAATCATGAGAGACCACACACATGCTGATAAATAATCACATATCTAGCAGTAAATCAGCAAATACTACACAAAAAGAACTTTCACTCATGGACATTAACTGCTCAAACAGGAAATCTCACGAGACAAAATGTGACTTTGTAGTAAACAAACATGGCAGAGGAGTTAGGGTGGTGCGGGCTTTCATTACTTTGTGTGCTGATTGGCTAAATATCACATTCAACAGAAAGTATTTGTTCCCAGAAGTCAGACCAAGAAATTTGACACATTTGAAAGCACAGCTTTATGATTTATGCGGTCTCAACATGCTTCCGAGCAGATCAGAGTGCTCATAACACACAACACATGTTAGGATTATCTGTTAAGATTACCTTTAAATCCATTACAGTAATAGTCTGTGAACTCAAGTATGTTAAAAGGGAGGGGGCTGGTCAAAAATCAGCATGATTAACCTGCCTTGGGAACCGAGTTTCAAATGCAAACCACTGTGTGTTTAGAGAGAACCCATTCATACTATAATAGTGTGTCGTTGGTGTAATTAGGATTTACCAGACTCACAATAAGACATGATAGCTTTGTGTTTGAAACTATTAATAACATTCCTACAAGTTAAAATAAACATCATGGTCTTTTGAAGTTGGGCTATGAAATGTTACAATCTCTGCTATTGTGAATAGCCCTGTGAACAACCTCAGTTTGGAGAAATAGAGGTTAACCATGAAACACTGCAAATACAGATTTTCTAATAAGTAAAAAGCCTTGTTATTTTACTTTAGTTTAAATAAAAATTAAATATATTTTATCTTCAAAAAACAACCCTACTTGAAATTTCGGTAAATATTTTGAAATTAAAAAAAATCTGCTAATGGGGTAAGCTAAAGTTGCTCCTAACCCTAAAATTCCACTATCTCCGCTCTGCTCCAGCACGAACTCCGCAGCAAAAACGGTCCTGTTGTAGTCAATCAGAGCTGTTCCACTACTGCGGCCGCCCGCCGTTCCGTCATCCGCGGACGCCGGAGCACCTCCGCAGTCAATGGACAGAAATCACAACCGTCCAACAGGAAAAGGCGCAAGCACAACTTCCGTTATTTCACAATAAATCGATAAACAAAAAGCGTTTTTTTTGTTTGTTTCATATGCACAGGTTTAACAACTTTTAACAACTATCAATGGCAGTTGAACTTTAAATGCACAAAAGTAAGCCATAAATGCAGTTTCTACTATCAAAGTAGTCACCCTTTGTTGATCCAAACACTGCTGATCTCTCAACACACATGATGGGCAGATTAAACAGTTCATTTCGATGCTTCTCCCACACAACGGGTGTTTGGATCTAACTTCCGCATTTATTGCTCGGACTGTATCGCAAGATCTCAAAAATCCCACGCATGCCTGTTTGCGCACCTCAGGTCTCCGCACCGGGTCGGAGCCGTTGTAGAGCGGGTATAGTATAATTTGAGTTCGGAAGCGAGCGGCAGCGGAAAGCGGGGGCGGAACGGAGCGGAGATAGTGGAATTTTGGGGTAAGACTAGCAAATACATATTTAGTAAATAACAGTTGGATTATTTTGCTAGTTGTAATAATTCTAGCTAACCAACGTTTTATTACCCCATCTGCAGATGTTTTAGCTTAAAACAAGAACATTTGATTATATTTAAAATATTATTTTATTTCAGGAAGTGCTGTTTTTGCTGATGTTTTTCTTTTTTTCTAAAAATAAATGTGTATGTCTAAAAAAAGGCTTTTAACTTTCTGAAAATCGGTTATTGTAGTGCAGAAGCTGACGGCTTGTCAGAGCTGGCTAGAGCCCATGTGGATTTCTACTTTTCAAACTAATTTTAATCTTAAAAATGCCATAGCTGCTCATTTCAACACTATTGCATAAACCTTTTAACTTTGCATCACACTGTAGTGCAATTTATATAGAACTGTGGTTATTTGCTTTCTGAAAGTGTTTGCAGTGTAAAGGTATATAAATAGTGCCCAGATGAATTGCTGTGATATTTCTCAGATTACAGATGTGATACCACATCATAACTACCTGTGACTAGCAGCTTGTTCACATATCTGATCAGAACTTATTACAGTTTTCCCAAATTGAGATCATTCATATCCATCAACAAGAATTAAGATAATTCTTCAATCATTTCCACAGAAACTTACTTCAGTAGATCAGAACTGCCCCATTAATAATTTTTAGTTATTGAATCTCCTTGGCAACACCAGGTCAAACAATTACAGACTGGATAAAGATGTGACTTCATGCAATTTGAAGTTAAATACATAAAAAATGCAAGTGGTATTAAAGTCCATTCAAACCTTCAAAGCTCTCACACTGAATATCTTTTTTCTCTTTTTATTTGTGCTTTGTAGAAGGAAAACTATTACAACCCCAACTGCTCCTTCTGGAATTACTCCGAGCGAAGCATGATGGGATACTGGTCCACTCAGGGCTGCAAACTGTTAGAAACCAATAAGAGCCACACCACTTGCTCCTGCAGTCACTTGACCAACTTCGCCATTCTCATGGCTCATCGGGGAAATGTGGTAAGTGGCCCTCACCTTGTGGTTTGCTTGGGCTATTTTTCTTTCTCAATTAGCTGTTCTTCCTCCTGTCCCGCCGCATGATTTGTGCACACATGGCAAGAGCAAAATTGGCTTTTCAGAGGAGATAATTAGATTATAGCTGGAGGAGAAGGTAAGAGTAGAGAGGAAGGCTGCAGAAAAGGCAGCGGGCTGTCATTTTTAAAGAGCAACACTGTGGATCAGGATAGGAAGTGGCATAGTGTTATCAGAAGTAATTATGTTTTACCTGCGGTTCGTGCGTTAATACTCCTCCTCCTTCATGCCTGCCTACCTGAGTATCATGGGAAACAGTTGAATTTAACTGGTGTTTCCAGTTCTTATGTAGTGGTGCAGAATCTGTTTTATAGCTAAATGCAATTACAATCCAATTACATGATAAATAGCATGTGTAGCGAGGACCCCACCAGTAATAAATGTAGAGGATAAGTATGTGGTTTGTTTAATAGTATGTTCCAACTCCTGAACTCTGTGCCTCTCATCTGTCTTTACATCAACCTTAACCACATCTTGAAACCAGAACCCAGAGGCTGGGCTAAGCCTCACACCAATCCCCCTACATATCACCCCAACAGTAACTCCTAACCTCAATGTAATTACAAATATCACAGGAGGAATTGCCTCACTTTCAGGCCACCGTGTCTTTGAGTCATATTTCGTATGGTCAAGTCTCTTTTTTTCCTCTAACTGCCTGGTGCCCACCATGAAACGCTCTCAGTTTTAGATCTTTTCTGAATCACTTCATGGTTGAAAATCGTTACGCACGTGGTTGCAGCTGTTTGAGGTCATTTCTTTCCTACTGATGTCACTTTCTGCAGCATGTGCTGGGTAAGATGATGACTGAACTTGGGTTTGAGTGCCAAATGGAGTCGAGTTCAGTTGTGTTTGATTGGGTCTTCAGTGTTTGACCAAATGCTAATAATCTCAATGAAAAGAAAGGACAAGACATTTTACAAACATTAATTAGGGAATTAATAATTACTAATAATTGGGATTATTTGAGAAGGGATGTTGTCTTATTGTGTCAGACCGTGATCTCAGACTTTCTCTGGAGCGGTTCACAGAACGGCCAGGCAAAAAATCAGCACGTCCAAATCTGAGACCAGAAAAAGGTAGAATGCCTTCTCCAGGTCAGGTATGAGGTCTTGCCCCAAGTGGAGGAGTTTAAGTATCTCTGGGTCTTGCCATGAGAGAGGGAAAGATGGATCGAGAGATCAATAGCTGGATCAGTGCTGCGTCTGCAGTGATGTGGTCGTTGTACAGGTCTGTCGTGGTGAAGAGAGAGCTGAGCCGGAAGTCCAAGCTCTTGATTTACCGGTCAATCTTCATTCCAACCCTCATCTATGGTCACGACCTTTAAGTAGTGACCAAAAGAATGAGATCATAGATACAAGTGGCTGAAATTAGTTTTCTCTGCAGAGTGGCTGGGCTCTCCCTTAGAGATAGGATGAGAAGCTCAGTCATCTGGGAGGGGCTTGGAGTAGATCCGCTGCTCCTCTACATTAAGAGGAGCCAAGCATCTGGTTAGGATGCCACCTGGATGCCTCCTTGGTGAGGTTTTCTGGGCACATCCAACCAGGAGGAGACCTAAAGGAAAATCCAGGTTACACTGGAGTTTCTCATCTGTCCTGGGATGCCTTAGGGCCAGAATATACTAGCTTTTTAATGACGCATATGCGTTTAAATTGGTTGTTTTGTGTAACTTACGTTGATTTGACGCGTTGTTTGTGCATGTCTGCCAAAATAAACGCAACACATTCGAACACCGCAATATACAAGTAACCAGTAGGCGGAGGTAACAAATGAGCAAGACACTCCATCTCTGCTTTAGATAGAGGTCTACGATATTGCTGCTGGTTTTTTCTGCTGAGATCTCAAAATTAACCAGTTACTGATCTCTTCTATTGATGCCATTTTATTTTGGTTGTACGCCACAAAACCGGCTCTATCCGGACTGAGATCTCAACACTGCCCCCTAGCTGAATCACCTAGTACTACACGCAGTGCAGTAGCAAGTATGTGTACAAAACGCAACTTGCTGCCTGCACCAATTCAAGGTTAAAAATCAAGTATATTCCAGGCACTTATGATTCCTCCGGAGGAGCTGGCCCCAGTGGCTGGGGAGTGGTAAGTCTGGGACACCCTTCTTAGGCTGCTGCCCCCATGTGGAAGAAAATGGATGGATGAAGTCTTACTTTTCCTTCACCAAGACATTCAATGGCAAAAAGACATCTTTATTCTTTCAGAACTGAGCACAATGAAGTTTAATTGCGTTCATCAGTGTTTCCATTAAACTGCAGTTGAAGGACTATAGAAACAAATCTGGAGACATTAAATGCTTAAATGCCACCTATTCTCATGTGAAGGTCACTCAACATCCTGTGTGTGTGTGTGTGTGTGTGTGTGTGTGTGTGTGTGTGTGTGTGTTTTTCTGCAGAGGGAGGGAGGCATGCATGAGCTCCTTCTTACCGTCATCACAAGGATGGCATCGCTGTATCTCTGGTCTGTCTGGCCATCAGCCTCTTCACCTTCTGCTTCTTCAGAGGCCTGCAAAGTGACCGCAACACTATCCACAAAAACCTCTGTCTCAACCTCTTCATAGGAGAGCTTCTGTTTCTTGTGGGCATCAACATGACGGAACCAAAGGTACAGTGGAAATTATGCCCCGGCGGCATTTAATTTTAATTGTCTCAACTGAAGTAATTAGCCTTTACATGCCTGAATTTCCATCTTAATTTTTCTTTTAAGTGCTCCACACAAAAAAAAATCAACACATTAAATTAAAAATAACAAGAGTGTGCTTGCAGTGGCTGCTAGGCTTTAATCAGGCAGATTTCCTATATTCGTCACTGTGTTAATTTGTTTAAAATTTCGTGCAAACCTTAAATTCTGCACTTGTTTTTGCAGGAAGACCGCTCCTTTCAATTCCTAAATGAATAATTGTAGTGTTTGGCCTTTCCAAATATGCATTTTCATCAATGTTTCATTCTCATGTGATGTGGGTAAATTATGTCAATAAATTATTGAACTAGTTAATTATTTAAACGTGATATTCACACTTAAGATCTCACTGTCTTAACACGAATCCCGTTGATTTCGAATGTGCTTTTGGAAAAGAAAAAGAAGCTGCTTTTACTTTAGACGACTGCAACATCTTGAAATTGAATTCTGTCCATCTTGTGGATGTAATTTTAGAAAAGAGGTCACCAAGCAACACAGGCAATATTTGATGTTCTTTTTGCTCTAATCTGATAGAAATAAGCAAATGATTAGATGCTAAATTCTCTTTCTCAGAGGAGAGCAGTGTTCTGGGCAGAGTGGGTGTGAAGTAATTTCTCTTGGTAGTTAAGAAACAAAGTGAAATAACTTCTTTCTGTCTTCTTTGCATCCTCCTGCGTGTGTGTTGTCTCCATCAGCTGGTGTGCTCCATCATTGCCGGAGTCCTCCACTTTTGCTTTCTGGCTGCATTCACCTGGATGTGTTTGGAGGGCGTACAGCTCTACCTCATGCTGGTCGAGGTCTTCGAGAGCGAGTTCTCACGCAGGAAGTATTACTACATCTGCGGCTACCTCATCCCGGCTCTGGTCGTGGGCATCTCAGCAGCCATCGACTACATGAGCTACGGCACACAGCAGGTGTAAGTTTACCACGCTTGCAAGCATACTTCTAGGTTTTTTATTTACTTTTGCCAAGATGGGGTAAATATCATGCAGCTCCATTGAGACATGCCCCCACAGCATGTTAAGGGATGGTTTGTGCTAATGACAGTAATATCACAAAAGAGTCCCCCCCCCCCCCCCCCCCCCCCCCCCCCCCCCCCGGAAAATTTACAGCACGTCACTGCTAAAAGAGGAGCCTGAGTCTAACAGCAGCATTAATGAATGCGCTGGCTAGCTGCACTGGCCTTTTATTCTTTGCAAGTGGATAATTACTGCCCTGATCAGTGAAAGGTTTCTGCACTTCTGTGCTGGTTTTTTATCCAAGCGTTAAGATTTCTAAAGTCCTCTCATTTAGAGAATAAAAGTAAAATGTGATCTTTTATTTCAAAGCACCAGTCTTCTTTTCATTTGTGCATCCTGATAAAAACAGATTTACCTTTTTCCTGTCTGCATTCAGGTCTTGGATACACACCGACGTGCATTTGTAGACCGTGAAGTCACGACCAGTGCCTTTTACACTGCAGCTCCTTGTGGCTCTAAGCCAAAACCCCTTAAAGTAGACCCCCCCCCCCCCCCCCCCCCCCCCCCCCACTGCGTCAGAAGAGTTGCTTTTCTGCTGTGGCCTATCATGTAGCCAGCTCTTCTGTGCTCTGATCGATGAGATACAACTATGTTTTGGCAATGAAATCAGTCAATGAACTAAGTATCACCTTTTGCATCCTGCAGATGCTGGTTGAGAGTGGATAACCATTTCATCTGGAGCTTCATTGGACCCGTGACCTTGATAATAGTGGTACGTTTTAAATTTGTGCATGCATAGGGATATGATTTTTCTTTTTCTTTTGGAGAGAAGCATTGAAAACAGTTTATAGATTTTCTCTCAGTGTGTGCTGGGCAGCCTCTTAGCTCTGCTTTCTCCGATCAATTTGCATGAAAGGATAGTGGTCCCATTATAGCTGACACGAGGACATCAGTGTCCACTCAGCTATGAAATCCTATGAAATCAGAATTGTTGAGCAGTAACAACGCCGAGCTTTCTGGTCCTCTCACTACAACTAGAGAATACTTCCTTCCTGCAATCAAGAGGAGAAATCGTTTCAGGCATGAAGGTCATTTGCTCGGTGGGAAAACAAGGGTGATGTTTTGGGGGGGGGGGGGGGGGGGGGGGGGGGGGGGGGGGGGGGGGTGGACAGGGAAGTAATGAGTGGGGTGGGCCAGGACAACCATTACCAAAGCACATAGCCCTGCTGAGGATCATGACA